CCAGGAATGGTCAAGGCAATGCTCTGACCTGGCTGAAGTGTATTGCTGGGGAGATGTGGAAAAGCTGAGTGGCTGATCTGCAACAGGTCAGGGGATGATAAAGGGTTTTCAACTTTGACGGCCACATGATCGCAGCAAACAGGTCCTGTAGGTAAAGGGGACTGCATGACAGCAAAAGTGCTCAATGGTGTAGAGAAAGAGACCCTTCCAAAGTTTTCCAGGAGCTCTCTGTGTGTCCAGGAGGGAACAGCTCCTCTCTGTGAGAGGTTTGGGAGGTACTGGATATCTGTGCAGCTCTCCCCCAGGTCAGGAGTATTTGGCTGATGGATTGTGTGGCTCAGCATCCTCCTCCCCACCCCTGTAGACCACCTTTGCTTTGGTCAGCGAAGCATTAAGGAAAGCAAAGAGCTGGCCAGGTGTCCCCTGGCAGGCTCACGGCACTGAGGGGGGTGGGAAATGCAGGCAGGTGCAACTCTTTTCTTCTTTTTCCTTGGCATCGAAACACTCTCTAATTATTGTGAGGAGCGAACAGCTTGCCCACTTTTACACATACCCTGCCCCCTGCCTGTGATTTGGATTGTCTTTGGAAGAATATGCTTCATAAGGGTGGGAGCAGGGAAGAACATATTTCTCTCACCTACAAATACTGAGAAACTGCAGGAAGAAAGGACAAAATGTTCATTAGGTACAAAGTAAGAATATAATATTACTGGCAAAAGGACAAAGGAAAAAAGAATCATGCTGTTTCCCTGGACAATAAGTTCTCAGCATCGCAGGTGAGGGGAGGTAGGAGCCAAGGGTGGCTGGAGCAGCTCTGCCTGCCAGAGGCTTCTGAGAAAGATGTTTGCTCCTTAAGCAGTCCCATCTTTCTCCTCCAGATACTCCTATACCACCTCCTGCAGCCGGGAGATACTGAAACAAAGAAGTGTCAGGGCAAGGATGAAAATTCAGCAGTTTCTTGCTCCCGACGCTGCGTCGCTCCCGTTAGCCTGTTCCTCCCGCCCCTGCGTGCGGGTTTTCACCCTGCTACATCCCTGTCGTTATCTATACGTGTCACCTATAGATGCCTCGCTTGAATTGCGGTGCTGCGGGGTGCCAGCGGGCAGGCGGGCGCTCTCGTCCCGCTCGCCTTGGCTCGCTCCTCGCGCTCGCCGGCGTGCGCTGCCGCCGTGAAGGATTGCCGTTGCGAACGGTCTTGGCACTTTGTTTCCGAACAACCACCTGGTTCCGGGCTGCTGAACTTTTCCTGCAGCCCGATGGCGCCGATGTTTCCCTCCATCACTCCGGCTCTTTGTTTCCCTGGAAGGGAACAAAAGACACGTTCACGGCTGTCTTGGGGAACGCTAATGTAATCGCTGGCGTTTCTTCATCCACCCCGGGACAGCGGAGCGGGCCGGACCTCTCGGCGCAGTGGAGGACAAAGGAGTCGGCATCGAGTGGAGTAATTATTGCCCGTGACAAGGAGGAAAATTCTGCTCCTTGGTGGCAGTTTAAAGGGACTCTTTGTTATTATGCGTCTGCTGTAGCTGTTCTGCAGGGGTTCCAGCTGTGTCCTGATTGTCTGTAGAGGGAGCTGGTGACCCGCTGCCACCAGGTGACTCCTCAAATTAGTGTGTGAGCCATCTTAGGGAGCACTTGACTCTTGGTAATGGGTTGGTCTTAATATGAGTCAACCTTTTCTCTGCTAGTCCAGACCGCATGCCTTTCCATCGTGATTACAGGAGGAATTATATTCTGCTCTTTTAAAGTGATGACTTAGAGTATCTAATGTTGCTGGCCTGCCTGGAAGCTTGTCAGTAAATTGCCACTTTTTCCTCATGTGCCCTTTTCTAACGCCTGCC